CACAACGGCCCCGTTCCCAGCTGGGGACGCGGCTCTGCCCGCAGCCCAGCTCGGCTGGTGCGACACCAGCAAATCCCTCCGCGGATGGAGGAAAACCCGCCAGCCTAGCCAGGCCAGCTCAGGATCTCAGTCCCAGATATCCGGATGGGCTCCAAAACCCCAGGGGAAACCTGGAATAGGTCTCCCACCCCGACAGAATTTTTATGGTTTTATGTTTCCAAAGTCCCTTTCAGTCCTGCTTTTCCCCAGAGTCTGATTTATACTAGAGCCAAGATCTTTGCTGTGACCCCATAAAACAGCACTTTGAAGGGGCCTACTGGCTTTCTTTTCAGAGCGCTCTCTGAAAAAAACCCTTTTTAATCAAGAAGCGGAAATAAATCTCAGAGCTGCACACAGGAAAAATCTGGGGACCTGATTAAATAAGCAGTAGTGTTATTTAGGGGTGTGCAAGGGGTCTTCCCACGCACGTAAGCAGGCTTTGTAAAGGGTCCTTCCACCTGCATTTCCATTTTAGTTAACGCCAGCCTGATGATTAGTTTTCTTTTTTTTTTTTTTTAATACATTTTGCTTCCATTAAAGATAACATACGGAGACAGGTATAGACCTGTCCAGCATACCAGAGACCAAAAAACTAAACTAGTGAACTCCCTGGGAAAAACAAAGGTTTTTGCCACCTGGATCGAAGGCGAGGATGATTACCCCGAAATATGCTACTAGGCACAGGAACACCCTGGGATTTCCTGGGCCGAAAGCGGTATCTGTTGTAATCAGTGCCACAGGCCCAGCCTTGCTGCAAAACCAGGGAGAGGGGATTTGTGCTGTGCAGTGGGGAGAGTGACTGGGCAATGCAATCAGACCTCCACTGCCAGCGGCTGCAAAGTGAAGCTCCTTGGACTGAATTCCCACCCACCGGAAGAGGACTGGGCTGACTGCTGGGCTGTCTCCAACGCTACCATTGAGGCTACCTCCAGCATAGCAGCGTCAGTACAGTTCTTCCTCTGCCCTTTACTGAGACCAAGCTTGAGAGTATCTGCAGGAGATGGTCCCTGTCCCTACATTAGGGACAGGACAGTGCCGGGACAGGCAGTCGAACTGCCGGGCCAAGCACTCAACCCTTAGGAGCTGGGTTCTCCAGTTTCCTGCTGGGTCTCGTTTCACAACCTCCTCTGCTGCCACGGACTCGATTCCAGCAGCTTGGGCATTAGAAAAAGCAACAGAGCTTTTCATAAAAGCTGAAAGAGCCAGCAACACCAGAGCGGTAGCTAAGAGGTACGTGGTGAGGTACGTGTCCTTGGTGCGCAGTGCTTGGAACCCGGCTTAAGGGGCAAGTTTAACTGTATTCTCACTTAAAGGTCAATGCTGCTTATCTTGTGGTCATGGACACCCTGGTAAGCAATGAGAACTCAAATATAAAAGATCTTGTGTTGCTCACTGAAGGAACAGGACCAGCAGGAGCTGCTGGAGTATGGTCTCTCCGTAGAGTTGACATTATAACCCCTCTCACAAGCAGAGCAAGCTCCTAAAAAAGTAGTGGATTTCTTTTTGCTCTGTCAGTGGCTGTTCCAGAACCTCAGGGCTCCTCAGCTCAGAAAGCTTTCTTCTGTTTTCCAGCCTAGATTTATTCCTGGCTCTTTTTCCCATCTCAGCACCCACGCAGGAGCCTTGCACTAACCTGCAGTTCCATTTCTCAAGGGGCTCCGCAGTGAAGTACTGCAGGTCCCTGGGGAAGTGGTACTGGTAGCGTCGGGACACCACCCTGGCGTTGGCTTTCACGGACCACAGCAGCCCGAAGAGGAGGAGGATGCCGCCGATGCCGCAGCAGAAGAAGCTGACGGAGCGGAGCAGCGCGTTGGAGGAGGAGCAGGGGACCGCTTTTAAGAGGAGGAGGCGCCCGCCGATGCCGCAGCAGAAGAAGCTGACGGAGCGGAGCAGCGCGTTGGAGGAGGAGCTGGGGACCGCCTCGGCTTCCCGGGGAGGCACGAGCTGAGCCCCGCTGTCGGCCACGGGGCCTATCTCCCCATCACTCCACCAGGCAAAGCACAGCGTCCCCGTCACCAGCAGCACGGCCCCGGTGATGGTCACTCCATAGCGGAAAGACGAAGTCGCCATTCTTCACAAAGAGGCCTTGTACCAAAGAGTTGAGGGGAGATGACCGAAACAACGCATGAGAGAGCCCACTTCCTGGAATACAAGAAAGGGACTGGGTTTCAGAGGGACAGTGTCATGGCTTCCATGGAAAAAAAAACTCATAGAGGAGAAAACTACTAAGCTAGGACCTCCCTGCGGATTGGAGGCTTCAGTATCATCTTCAGCTATTTATTATTGATTGATCTCTGCTCTCAGAAAGGGCATTTCCACCCTCTCAAATGGGAACCACCCTCGTGCCTGTGGAGGCACCCATGTGCAGAGCAAAGACAGCTACCAGGCTGGGCTTCCGAACTTTCCAATAGCTTCACAAAAATGTCCTCGTTTTAGAGAAATCACCCAGCATTCCTCTCCAGGCAAGATGAAAACTGCAGCCAGTGTAACTAAGCAGTCAGCCCCAGGGACCTGCATATTTCTTATTTCTGGATTTGATTCCAGACTTCCTCCCAAACTTGGAAAAATGCCCGCTGGGTTTATGATCAAAGCAAAGCTTATGAAAGAGGTTAGGGAAAGGGACATAAATTTGAGATGTCATCGCTTCCAAATCAGTTCAGAATTATCGGGGCACATGCTTTCTCCTCTGAAACGGGATGTAAATCAGTCCTGCAGTGACAGTAGGTGTCTGGCATCGCTGCTCAAAAGCCCACAGCCCAGGAGATTCAAGGCTGCACTGCCTCTTGCTTTCTCAGGGAAAAGAGCCAAGTAGCATCTCTGAAAGTCACAGAGCTGCTATTTCAGGGGAAAGACGGCTCAGCCGCTGGCAAACCAGGGAAACCCAGCTAGGAATCGCTCCCAAGATGCTAGGTGAGGAGGGACCCACGGGAGCTCTCCCACGGCTGCTGGAGCCCGCAGTAGATGAGCTCCCCTCTGCCACCAAGCTCAGGCCAGGGATCTGTGTGGGAATTAATCTGCATCACCATTAAAAGTCAGGAATCTGCTGGAGACAAGTTAAAGCCTCTCAGGGGAAAATCAGATCTTGGTAGCGAATGAGCTATTTCGAGGGCTCTGTGCGCTCGCCTGCAGTTGTGTCCCAGTTCTGCAGTCCCAGGCAGCAACGTCCCTGGACTGTTCAGCGCTTGGGAAATCCTGCAGCGTTTAAACCCGACAGCAGCTACTTGCCTAAATATTCAAGGTACCAGAGGCTCGGCTTTCCCACCAGCTCCTTTGCTGGGGTGGCCCTGGCAGCCCCGGCGTCGAGGGGCTGCGCCGGCACGCGTGCAGCCGCCAGCACCTCAGACGAGTAGGTAAATCGCTTGCTGCCATGAGCCAGGGACTGAAGGGCAACATGAGTTTGACCCCCCCACCCTCACCCACCGCCAGTTTTGCTCTCAGCCTGAGGACATGAAAAATTAAAACCAACGCAGACGGATTATCGTTTGGGACGTGTCCCCTCTCTCCTGTCACAGCATATTGCCCTGGCAGGACGAGGGACCACTGACCTTGGTGTTTCTGCTAGGCTGGGCAGAGGCTTTGATATATGATATATGAAGCTCTTATTGATCCAGCTACTGTGTCCCATCTCAAGAAACTCCAGAAGAGAAGAGGGCTCAGTTTATTTTGAGAGTGGGGCAGTTTATTTTGAGAGTGGGGCTCCATAGCCAGAAGGCCAGAAACGCAGGTGTGTGGGTAAATGCCGAAACTCCAGCGCTCGCTCCCTTGCCCTGCGGAGGCTGGAGGGCGGCAGGGCCTTGCCGTCTGAGCAGATGCTTCGAGCAGTTGGTTTTGATTTTTTGTTAAATACGCTTTTTTTTTCCTCCTCGGTAAAATGCAACATCATCTTGGAGACAATCCCCAAAGTACTCTACCTATAATAGGAAAAATGCACACGTAAAGAAGTTTTGAGTAAAGCCAGGTAGGATGCTTTTTCATTCTGCTTAAGCCTCATGCTGTCTTCTGAGTTAAGACCAGCTTAACAGATCGTTGCTGCTGGTAAATGCCCCTGACTCTGGAAGAGTCTGCTGAATCTTTATCCAAATCAGCTTTTGCGCATCAGCTCTGGCTACCCAGGGTCAGCCACAGCATGCACCTTCTCAGCTCCCCGGCACCACTGATCTGGCAGGTTTTAGCACTGCCTCTAAGGCCTCTGTCCGGATGGGGTTTTTGTTTGTTTTGTGCGTACAACCCAAGCGACAAGGCCAACGGCACCCAGACAGTGACTTGCATTTTTGCTGGGTGGGACGTCTCACTGCAACGTCTTAAGCTGAGAGCAACGTCCCTTCCCCAGCATGGGAAAATTTGGAGACGGGGCTGCTGATTTCTCGTCTCATTGGGACCCTTACTCCACGTTGCTTTCTCCATTCCAGCAAGCACAAATGTCCAGTAGCCATTTATTCTTAGGGCTTCAGGATGTCCTACCATGAATTAACCAAGCAGTGCCAGCAGCAGGAGAGGCAGTGACATCTCTCCATTTCTCCTCTAGCCCTGCTCAGTGCCCAGCGAGAAGATGCAAGCTCAGCTCCCTCCTCTGCCTAGCCACTTACTGGGAAAAGAAACCAAAGCTCCAAGTGAAACATGTGAGGGAAAGGCAATAAACAATGACCCACAGAAAATAAATTGTTTAGGAGCCTTCCTCAGGTCCTCGCCTGCCGCTTTGAAAATTCCCCTGCATAACGTTGATATAAACTCAATTTTCATCTTCTAAATGAGCTTCCCAGCCCTCTTCAAAAGCCAAGCTGCACGCTATATCAATTTATCCTGAAATCTGCAAGGAAAGAGCCAAAGCTAAGTAGGGAGCAGCAGGCAGAGCCCAGAGTTCAAGATGAATTCAGTGTGAACAAGGCCGGGTGAAATTATGTTATTTCAAGCAGCTATTTATCAGATGGGCCCACTAAATGGAAATCCAAATTACTTTGTAGTGAAAGAAAGACCGTACGATCTAATCTATATTTAATGAAGAAATACAATGAGAAGTGAGATTTATGAAACTTGCAGGAAGACTGCAGGACTCGGAGCTCTGATAACATGCTACATCTTTCATCTCTAGGCCATGAGCTCCAGTCCCATGCCAGGCTGGCCTGTTGCCAGCTCTCCCCACCAGCAGCCGCAAAGTCACCAGGAGGGAAGGCGTTTGTGTTTCTAGCCTGTAGCTAGGCAGAGCTTCCCTTCAGAAAGAGGGGACACGCTTTGGCGTTTGGAAGGGACTATCGGAGACCTGTTAGAGATGCCATTAGAGACCAGCCTCCTCCAACACACCACCAAACTCTGTAAGGAGGAGCCGGTAGACAAGTGGGCACACATGGGTTTTCAGAGCAGTAGGTGCTCAGGAGAGCGCAAGAGGACACTGCTGACCTGTCGGATCCCGTTGCTTTTAAGAGCATTGCATTCTCCAGGAAAATTTGCAGTTTGAAAAAAAAAAAAAACCAAAAAACAACAACCCAAAGCCTAGCAACTCTATCTGTCAACCTCTGTGGAAGTTACAGGTCACTCTGAACTGAAAACCCAGATTGAAATGCCACCAAATGTTGAAACGTTCAGATCTTGCTGTCAACTGAAGCGTCAGCGGTTTCCTCAGGAGGGTGCCTGGCCAGAGGCGTGGAGTCAGGCGCTGATCGTCGGTCTCGGCCAGGGAGGACGCAGCTGCCACTGCTGCGAGGTGAAGTTTGAGGTGGTCCCAGTCTCCCAGCCATCCCTCCCCCATCAGCACAGCCCCCTCCAAATCCCAGGAAACGGTTCAAAACTAGCACACCCTTCCCAGCGATTGCTCCCCATCCATAAAAAAGGCAGAACACTGCTCGGTTTTGCAGCCGAGGCAGCTGCAGGTAAGGTGAGACCCTTTGCAGGATCTGCACCGTCCAGCCTGCAGCTGAGGCCCAGCCAGAGCAGCACAGGTCGGCTGGTTTAAGTCCACAAACTGCAGTGGAAAAATCACTTCTGCGATGTGGAGGCAAGGGATGAGCAGAGGGAGGGAATGGCTCTCAGGACCTGACTGATCCCGTTAACACTCCCATTCCTGGAGCCCTGTAATTGTATAAAGTCCTCAGTTTCTGGTTAAAAAGAAATACTGCCAATGAAAAGAGAAAGGACCAAAGCTCCTAATTGCCTTGGTCGAGGAGCAAACTTGGGCCACGTGAGCTGAGCGCCCCCCAGCAATGAAACTGCGAGCCGACCACACGTTTCAGCCTGGCGCGCTGTGCACATCTGCTGCAAAGCTCTGCCAGCGGCTTCTCCTTCCACCCCTGCGAACGAGGGGGAGGCTGGCAGCAGAGGTAAGCCGCAGAGCTGCGAAAGGTGACAGATTGACAGCTCGAGACAATGAAGTCTTCTTTCCTGACAAAATCAGCGCAGCACAGAGAGCAACACTAAAAGCTTCTCCGACCTACCCGGCAAAGTGTTCCTCCACCGAATCTGCGGGGGCAGTTCCCACATGCTTTATTGCATTAGCATCAAACCGTTTCCTCGCCGAAAGCCCTTTCTGTCCCCTCTCAGGCTAGGGCAGCTCTCCCGAGCCTCTCTTAGGAGGCTTTCAAACATGCAGTGTGTCTCTCAGTGTACCAACCACTGGAAAAAGAGCCCGAAGAGCGTGGGGCAGGAGGAGAGCTGTGAGACCGTGGCACGAAGGAGCACAGCCCAGCCCGAACCACCGCTGTCCCAGCCTGCTCTGGGCTCTGGCCCCAAAGGCACAAGCACTCCTCACAACCCAGCGCCTCAAGTTGCCTCCTGAGCGTTTCCAGCCTGGACTTTCAAGACAAGGCTGCTCCTCCGAACACACATCTCCACCCTCCAATACGCTTTGACATTTTGTTCTGCCCAGTCTCTTCCTGGACCTGCTTCTAAACAGTCTTTATGGGGGAAAAGGATTTGCATGTTGCATGTGCAAACAGACATGAAGCATTTACGGTTTACATAATTCCAGTAAGATGCTGAGAATAGCATCCCCCGTATAAAGTTATGCAGATGGTGATTCATAGGGTCTACTAAGCATTACTCAGAAAAACAATCTTTTCCAGAGATACAAGAAATGAAAAGAGTTTTGAATCTCTCCCACTGCCATCAAGTGGAAGACCACCTCCACAACTCGTCCTTCCACTGCACTCGCTGGAGACTTTTAAGCAGTCACAAACGTACCAAGAGGAACGTCGTGCAGAAACACGCTGAAGCGCGAGCGTATAATTAAGAAGATTCCATCCTGCCTTTATGTGAATGTACTGTTGTTGTTGTTGTTGCTATTATTACTACCTAGGCTTTTTGGTACCGATCCAAACCAAAGTAATAATCAAGCTTTTCAAGCTCTGACATCCTCAACCACCCAAACGCAGGCTCCGAAGGGCTCGCACC